ACTCTGTATAATGCATTCATACAAATTTATGACAAGTTGTTAATTAGCGGTTATTCTAGGAATAATAGTGAGTGTGGAAATAACATTTTAACTTTTTAACTTTATAAGTTGGGTGAAATTATAATGTGGGTGGAGAAATAGGACAATGGGGTGGGTCTAGTAGCACTCTAATTAGTTTTGTACAATTTTTATTTTATTTTTTTTATAATTAGTGCCTCACAATGGACTAACAATAATGTGATTTAATCAATTGTTTAATAATATTATTTTTTTTTCTATTTTCAAACACGTTCAAAATATATTAAGAGGTGGGTAGTGCTGGTTATAAAAAAAGTTTTTTGCACTCTCATAATAATGTGATTCAATTAGTTGTCAAATGATCGTTTTTTTTTTTTGAACAAATGATATTATCTACATTAAGAGGGAGAGTGTGGGCTTAGCCTCACAATAGGCTATAAATGATGTGAATCAATCAGTTGTTTATTAAATATTATTTTCTCTATTTTTAATGCAAATTCAATAGAATGTAGATAGAAATTGAAAAATCGATTTTATTATGTGAAGTTAGCTGCTTTGATTGGGTTATGAGGGGTTTCTTGTAGCATGGTCTAATATTATTAATTTAGTCCAAATATTTAACTTTCTTTTTGTCATAAAAGAAAAAAAAATATTGAAGCAATTCATGCATATTGAACCAATTCTAGTATGGCCCTAAGTTTTTGCAATAAAATCAATTTGCAAGATATAGAGTAACCAAAATTCTTTATGAGTACATGCATGGTTTGGTAAATTTCTAATGTGGGATATTTCTTCGTTTTCTCACACATTTCCTTATGCATGGAGAATTTTCAAACTCAATACGTGAATAACCGAGTGACACGAAATACGTATAGCGGTTGGACCACATGTGAGCCAACTTTCTCTAATTCCATGAATCACATACAAAATTTGTTGAAATTCCGATAGAGGACACTTCTTCACGTCCTTTCATTCCTATTCTTATCTTCACGCTAGTACGCGCAGTAAAATAACCTTGTTTGAAGAATCTTGAATGGAGTGATCCAAATTAAATAACTAGTCAATTATCTTGTAATAAAATTTTCATTGGTTACCCTTTGGATTTATTTGTAGGTCAAAGAATATTGCTGTAGTGACAGAAGACCATAACTATGTAATTACAGGGAATGAAGAAGAAAAAAGACAAAGTTTTGAAGAAAGTTATTTGGGGCTTTTGATTGGCCGAAGTAGGATTGGATTTGGCTATCTAAGACCAATTTCAATTTAATTAACAACTGAATAATTTGAGATCATACCTTTGTAGACATCGAAATTTCAGTAAAACAAATGTTCACCAATGCATTAAAGTTTTGACGTGTCAAGGCATACATGGCATACGCCACGTGTTGTACAAATTGTACACATGGCGTGTGACTCAACAAAATAGGAAGAAATACCCTTGAAGGATTAAACAAGTTTTTCTTCTCATTTTGGGCAATGACAAGGCAAGTACATTTCAATCCATTGAGGATCAAAACAAGTTTTTCTTCTCATGTTGGGCAATGACAAGGCAAGCACACTTCAATCCATTACGGATCAAAGCAAGTTTTTCTCATTTGGGCAATGACAAAGCATACACATTTCAAGTTTAAAATGGTGTTAAGTGGGAAATTAGGCCATAAGTTACACCACTTCAAGTTTAAAATGGTATTAAGTGGGAAATTAGGCCATAAGTTACACCACTTCAATTTCAATATTGCATTAAGTGGGAAAATTAGGCAATGGTGCTTGGAAAGGAAAAAATATTTTTGTGGTGGTGATTCATTCTTAAAGCCTATAAATAGGCTTCTCCATCAAGGTATCAAACATCAAGGAATTCACAAATACATTTCTCTACTCCAAAATTAGAAGAGGAATTCCCCAAATCCTTGAAGCTTTGAAACTCCAAAGCTTCCAACCATCCAAATTCCCAAGAATTCCGAAGGATCAAGAAAGCTCTCTTCGTTCTTCGTTAAATCCTCTTTCAAGATCAAGCCTCGACGGCCCTTGAAGAAAGTGTTCATCCGTTCATCCTAAGCATAAGCCCCCAACGGCCCTTTGGATCAACAACCTCAACAAATCCACACATCCAATCGTTCTTCAAGATTAAGCCCCAACGGCCCTTGAAGATCCGCTCATCCATCAACCTTCAAGATCAAGCCCAAAAGCCCTTGAAGAAATCCACACAACCATTATTCAAGATCAAGCCCCGACGGCCCTTGAAGAAAGTGTTCATCCGTTCATCAACTGTTCATCCTTAGATCAAGCCCCGACGGCCCTTTGGATCAACAACTCATCCACAAACCTACATCCTACGAAGATAGAATCAGAGGACCAAATTTGAGAGAGATCGTAACCCCAAAATCATTAAACACAAAATATTATTTTGTACACGTTATTCTTGTTTCTTGTTTCAAGGAACTTTCGTGTTCACAACCTTCTCTATATAAATTTTTTTAACAAACGATATATCTATACTAAGAGAATAAGGAAGTGGGACAAGCCCTATAATGGGCTAGGCTTAGCCCACTCTCCACTCCATTAGTGCAGATAATATCGTTTGTTTAAAAATAAATTAATAAATAAAAAATAAAAATAAAAATGAGCGAGAGGTTTTATGTTCGATTATCGTCAAAGACGAATTTGAACCACATTATTCCTAGCCGATTGTGAAGCTTAGCCCACTCTCCTACACCCTTAATATAAATAATATCGTTTGCTAAAAAAAATCAATAACATAAATCAAATAAATCCAACGCAAGCTCCACTAATCCAAAGTAATCTTTATAATTAGTCCAAACGAAGTCAACCTGACGGATCAACTTTGACAAAGGTAATATGAAAACCTCTACTGTGCAGGAGTTTTGCAAATTTAAGCGTTGCCTTGATATGGCTTCGAGTCAAAACTGGAATGCAAACAGCGTGAGGCTTAGTAGCTACTGTCGTGGCTGTTGAGAATGAATCTTATATTAGTGAGAGGAGAGATCTTACATATTCTTATAAGTAGTTAGGCTACTCCTCATATTGTTGATTTGTTTTGTAGTGGAATCTCAACTTTTTTTATGGTATTAGAGCAGGTTGGCCCACGTGTGAAGCCTAACGGCAACACTTGTTTCACGCCAACCAATTCATGTTGTTCACTTGTTTGGCTTGAAAATTCGCGTGCTCCACATCACCCAATTCATGTTGTCCATGTGTTTGGCTTGAAAATTCGTCATACGTGAGGAGCCGTGTGAGAATGTAAAAGTAAAAGAGTCCCACACTGGTGAAAAGAAAAATCTTGCAAGGGCTTATAAGAGGCTGAGCTACTCTCCATATTTACAATTGGTTTTATGGTATAATCTCAACTTTCTTTAGAGTGTAAGAGCAGGTTGTTCCACGTGTGAAGCTCAACGGCCACACGTGTTCCACGTCACCGAGTTATGTTGTCCATATATTAGGCTTAAAAATTTGTCCACGTATCAATTGTTTATTAAATATTATTTTCTCCATTTTTAATGTAAATTCGATAGAATGTAGATGGAAATTAAAAGACCGATTTTATTATATGAATTCAACTACTTTGATTGGTTTACGAGGGGTTTCTTCTAGCATGGTCTAATATTTTTCATTTATTCCAAATATTTGACTTTCCTCTTGTCATAAAAAAAATTATTGAAGCAATTCACACGTATAAATACATTTAAAATGTGTAAGTCGAATGTAGCACACATTAATTCAAAAAATGGCTTTTGCACGCTCCAATTCAAAAACTATAATCAATTCTTGAATTAACCTGTGAACCACATCTCAACAATAGAATTTTACATTTTAATATTTAAGATGCGACAATGTAACACAAATAAACGAATAACTTCAGAGCTAGCAACTAACAACAAACAAATTAAACTTGAATTGGTTTTTACCTTGCAATACGTCATTCGTTCCAAATACACAAGGCAAACAACTCTAGCATGGAACTCTCGTTCCTTATTCAAACAAACTTTCTTGCACAAACTTAAACAAGCCTTGAACAAATTTCATCCTCAAAATTTAAAACGTACCAGTGTTAGAAAATAGTTATGGGTATTTCTTCCGCATTTCAGTTTATAATTCCCATGTAGCACTTTCCACATCACCATGTTGCCAAAGAACTTTGACCAACATAATTGATACTGTACGAAGGGTTTGTTCTTTATGATCCAATATCTGGATTGGTCTATCTTCAAAGGATTAGCCTTCATCTGCTCAAAACTCTTGCTAGTCGATAGCATGTGTTGGATCTGGTTCATATTTTCAAAGCATTGAGACATCGGAAACATTGTGAACACTTGAAATTTGTGGTGATAAAGATAATCTGTAAGCACTTCCTCTATTCTCTATACGATTTTAAAACGACCAATAAATCTAGGAGATGACTTCCCAGACTTTTCAAATCTTTTGATTCCTCTAGAGGGAGATATCATGAGAAATACGTGATCTCCTACATTGAATTCTAATGGTCTTCATCAGCATCACAAGGGAATTTGAAACCGAAAAGCGGAAGAAATACCCAAAACTATTTTCTAACACCGATACGTTTTAAATTTCGAGGACGAAGTTTCTTTAAGGTTTGTTTAAGCCTTTGCAAGAAGGTTTGTTTGAATAAGGAACAAGAATTCCATGCTAGGGTTGGTTGCCTTACGTATTCGGAACAAAGGACGTATTGTAAAGTACAAAACAAACTCAAGTTTAGTTTGTTTTTGTTAATTGCTCTGGAGTTATTCGTTTATTTATTTTTATTTTGTCACATCTTAATTATGAAATTTCATATTCTATTTTTGAGATGTGATTTGCACCTTAATTTGAGACGTGTCTATATTTTTTTAATTAGAGCATGACAATCCATGGGCACCATTGACTATCCCTAGTGGACTATAGTACAGGGCATTATTTTTTCCTCTCTTTTGGTTTTTTTAACAAACAATAGAATAATCTACATTAAACGACGGGAAGGGGGATTCATACATAAAATTTCAAATGCAAAGACGAATGCTTTTAACAAACTGAGTTACAGCCACTTACTAGTACATGATATTATTTGACAGAATTTAAGATGGTGGTCGCAGGCTAAACAGATTTCTAGTTATTGAACCAAAAAACATTTAGGAATGCAGTACATGCTTCCTCACATCTTGCTAGCCAGATAATTATCGTTTGAGGCTATGGCCAACAATGAAAAAACATCAAAAGCTTAACAATATTGTTAAAGCTGACCTCTAGCTTTTCCTTAATAGCACACGATTTACTAAATTGTCGAAGTTCTTGGATGAAGAACCGTGAGGACTAGTAGATTCTTCTGCAAGTTTCTTCAACTCCATGACCTTATTTTTCATCTTCTTAGCCTTCTTCCCCTCCATTAACTCTCTAACAAGCTTCTCTACTTCATCCCTCTTCACGTCATTATTGATTTCCATGCCAATGCCCCATTCATTGCAAGTATAGCGGCAGTCCATTTGCTGGTCGCCAAAGAATGGCCAACAGAGCATAGCCACTCCTGCAGTCAGGCTCTCAATGGTTGAACTCCAACCGCTGTGTGTTAAAAATCCTCCAACTGATGGATGGTTCAGCACATGCTCTTGTGGGCACCAACTTGCAAATAAACTTCTTTCTTTTGTTTCAGCCACAATCTCTGATGGCAAAATCGCTGATCCGTGATGCGAAAATTACTTGACACTCAAATTAAACCCTCGTTTGACAATTGTAGTAGAATGGATAAGTGAGGGATCGTTCTAGACCGGGGATTAGGAGGGCTTGCTAAAACCTTCTAAATTGACTTAAAAACATAAGAACACAATATAAAACACTATTTAATGCTCGAAGAAAGCAAAACTAAAAATAAGAAAGATTAAGACTAAGACTTCAACGAAATAGGGGGGAATTGGATTTGGACGAATTAAAACTAAAACGTAAAAACAATATAAAACGTTAAACTAGACTCAAAGAATGTGAAACTAAACGTTAAAACACTAAGACAAACCAAAAGAATCAAAATGCTTTAAAAACACAAACTAAATTGATTTCTAACTATATTGAACATTAAAGCAAAAGGGGGATTGAGGTTTGATGAAAATTGAAATAACGAAACAAGTTAATAACTAGACAGAATGTAATTGATGAAATAAGATGGTTGGTGAATTAGCTAGAGGTTCTTTCTCCACACATGATATTTATGCATATGAATCAATTTCCAGTTATTCCTTCATTGAATTATGAACGACAATGCCCCAAATTAACCGTGACATCACTAGTTAACCCTCAGATTTTCCTTATATTATTGGATTGGATGGCATCATTCGACAACCCAAAACATTCTCAAAAGTTCCCTACATGTCATCATAATAGAGATACAATCGAAGATCATTAAGAATAATGAAAACCATAAGCATTGACAAAGCACTTGCAACTATGACATCATGTTACTCATGCTAAGAATTAAACTTAACGCGATCGTGACAAGCGACCTTCACTACTTTCAAGTATAAGTTAGTAACGATTATGTGAAACCTTCTTAAACTTTAGCCACATATTCATGCATGCTAATTAAGTGTCGACCCTCAATCAACAAACACAAATAAGTTAATCATCAAATAGTTAAGCCAATTGCATTCACGAATCAAGAGTTCATAACCGGAATTCATCAATTCATATTACATAAATAATCATGGTATTGAAATCACCCCTAGCCAAAAAGGGTTTAGTTCCTCATAACTTTGAAATCAAAGAAACACCTAAACATTCCAACAACTCAAACTTGAATTGTATGAACGTTTAGGCACTCTTCTCTTCCTCTTCTCATATTACAAAACAAAGAGAATTGAATTTAAACATTGAAATCAAAGAAACGCGTAAACATTCCAACAACTCAAACGTGAATTGTATGAACGTTTAGGCCCTCTTCTCTTCCTCTTCGTTGTAGCACAAGGACTAAGGGATGTTGTTGGTGTGTTGAATGGATTGGGGGATTATGGAAATGGAAGAAATGGAGGAGAAAGGGAAGGGAAGAAATGGAAGTGTTTGAGGGGTGTTGTGTTGTGAAATGAGATGAGATGTCCCTTTGTGTATGAATGCATGGGTTTTTATAGGGGGAATGGGAGAATATGTGGATGATTGTTTAAGAGTGAATGTGGTTGTTATGATGAAGAGTGAATAAATAATGCATGTAGGGTTAGGAAATAAAATCATAAATTAAAGGGGGGATGATTAAAGGGTGTGGCTAGGTTGGAAAGGTGTGGAAGATGGATGGAATCATGGGTAGTGTTGTTTGATTTGTTTTGTGGTTAATGGGAATGTGGTTGAATGATTAAATGGACATGTGGGGTGTAATTGCAAAGGGAATGCAAAGTGAATGAATAATGAATGCATGTGAGTTAAAGAGGGAGAATGTGGTGAAATGATGAAGTGGGAAGGTGGAAATGCATGTGAGATGTTGGAAAGGAAATGGGAATATGAGTAGGCCATGGCATGGGAGTTGTTTTGTTGGTGTAAATGTGCCATGGTTGCAATGATGAAGAATAAAGGGTGCATGTGGGGTGGAATTGAATGAATGCAAAGTGAATGAATAATGAAATGAGTTAAAGAGGGAGAATGTGGTGAAATGATGAAGTAGGAAGGTGGAAATGCATGTGACTTGTTTGTGGAATAAAGAATGAATGGTGGAATGATGAAGAGTTGCATAAAGAATGCATGTAGGGTTAGCTAGGTTGGCTTTGTTTGGGTGCATGTGTGTTAATGGTGGTTTTGCATGTGAATTGATGGATTGTTTTTGATGGAATGGATGGTTCTTTGCATGGCTTTTGAAGTGATTGTGGGCTTTGGAATTGGAAGGAAATGCATGGCCTTGGGGTTGGTTTAAGAGAGAATGGGCTAGGCCCTTTGTTTTATGTCCAAAATGAATACAAGGCCTTCAAATTCGTCCAACACTTTGGCTCCAATCATATGCTATCCATTCCAAGCCCAATTTTGCTCCAAAATGCTCCAAAATGCATCTTTTTGCTTCCTTAGCCATATGAACCTAAAAACACACGAAAATGGCTTAAACTACTAAAACAACTATGAATTAACAACATAGATGCACGAAAACAAGCTAAGTAAGTCGCCTAAATATGCTCCTATCAAACTCCCCCACACTTATCTTTTGCTAGTCCTCGAGCAAAACAGAATAAAAACAAATAAACAAAACGACACTTAAACACGTAAAACACAACCTACACCTTCCAACAACCGTCTTAGGGATTTTCAATGCACATGACATGTTAAAAATCACCATTCCCACAGATTTTAGTCATCTTCACACTTAAGTACATTCTTAATCATAGTCACCACATACTAGTTCACAATTAAGCATTTAAAACCATGTTTTGAATGTAGTAACATGCCTTTAGAGAATTTGCTCAATTCCTTACAAGATATGCACTCGATTTTCACTCAGATTTTCTAACTACACACCCTAATCTAGTCATATGTGAGAAGATTGATGTAAACATGAAAACGAACACTCACATATATGTATCACAAAGAACGCAATTTCTGGAGTTAATAAGCATGTTTAGATATGATCTCATGAATGGAATGCTACTACTTAGACGCGAGAACCAGTGACACCATATGCTCATACCAAGTTCAAACTCCACAAATTGAAACACATAACACTCAAGATTGAAGTCACGGGTTGTAATAGGGCTTGGGATATTGGCTCACAAGGAAAGGTAAGGATAAACAAAAGTTCTTTAAACAATAGCAAGCAAGGTAATGAAATTAAGGCTTAGAATTCACTTGGCATGCAGAAATAAACTTTTAGACATAAGGGGGAGATTCAATCAACTCTTAGGGCCTAATTTATTGTTTTGGGCCCTTACTTCAACCAACAATATTTTTCAACTTTTTTTTTTTTTTTTTTTTTTTTTCTTTTTTTCTTTTTTTCTTTTTTTCTTTTTTTCTTTTTCTTTTGAATCTCAAAACGTACATATAAATTTAAAAACAAACTTTTACTCCCCCACACTCATTTTCTTGCATAATGTAACTCAAAAGGAATTCATTTAAGTCATGCTCACTATACTTCAAGAACAAGGGTACAAATCGTCCTAATCTAGGCTAGGTGAGGATGATAAGGGTTAACAAAGAACATGGGCTAAACAAGCTCAACGGGGGTAAAACTTACAACATATACGAAATATGGGAAGTGAGGCTATTTGGCTATGGTGGTGGTCACTACACAACTTCATCTTGAATATGTGTTATGCAAATCAATAACATGCTTTGAATGAAATGGGCATGAGTTCTAGCATTTGGAACTATATGATGAAACGCCTTCTAAGTAGCAACCAAGCAAAGAATAATGAGATCATGCAACGACTTTAGAAAACAAGAAATCACAGATTATACTCTCCAAAGAACGTTATAGGCTCAAGTCTCTCAGGGTTGTAGCGTTTGTTTGAGTTCCTTCCTTCAGGCATGTTACAAAAACTAATCTTTCTTTTATGATTGCATGTGAAGTCATACATTATAACCATAACCAAGCATATACCAAGAGTAAATCAAACTTTTCTCCATGTTTATAACTCTTTTTAACAGTCATGCAATTACAAACCAAATCCTGAGGCAAGTGTTGGAAGGTACCTACGACACAAACACTCACACAAAAACAACTTTAAAACAATTCTTTTTGGGTTTTTCAAAACAATTTTTCAAATTTTTATGGGATTTTCGAATTTTTAAGTCAAAACACACTAAAACAGTTTAAACACACTTAAAAACAACAAGAAAACAATATTTGAAGTTATGGTGGATAAAACCCTACGAATTTGCATCAAAACACTTTAGTTACCCCCCCACACTTAATTCAAACATTGTCCTCAATGTTTCAAGCATAGACTCACAAAATTAACAAACAAACAAACAAAACAACAACTAAACAACCTAACATGGCAGAATGTATCTAACAAAGAAAAGAGTTTAGAGATGCAAATCTGGAATTGGAGTGCTTTCTCGGCCTTCCGTTGTTGAATGCATGGGCATGATCTTGGTGATTCCACAGGCTTACTCTTGAACTGGGCTGAGGTTTCTTTTGGTTTCCTCCGATCGTTGATTTTCCTTTGTGCTACTCTTGAACTAGGTAGCAGGATTCTTTTGGTCTCCCCCGAAGGTCTGAGCTTACTCCTTTTATTTGTTCAATCTCTCCAATTCGTATTGAAGAGGGTTAGAGGATAGCTCAGCATATGCTTGTCTCCTCATGCTTCAATGTAAGGCAAAGGAAAATGATATATTGAAGCATGATATGAGATACCTTTGCTTTTGACCTTGATGATATGAGATACCTTTGCTTTTGAAGAAGCGGTGAATGAATCAGCACATGTATTTGTTGTGCTGCTTCCTCCTGGGTCATCTGTACTCCAGGCATCTGGTATCATCTTTGGGGAAGAAGAAAAAATTGAGTATTTCAAAAGGCTTTGCTGGGAGTGCGCCCTCAGAGGTGAGGAAGAGTTGGTCATTTTCTTCAGGTTTGCCTTGCCATAAAAGATGAAAGTCGACAAATATAGGGATTTCCCAATAGCAAGTGATGGTACTGTTCTTTTACCCTTGTCGACAAACGTTTTGATCCCGCAAATCCGGCTTTTTGAAATAGTGACGACTCTTCGATCTTTGAAGACGCCTCTTC